GATGCATCTGAAAGCATGATATCAAAATAACAGCAATGATAAGAGACAAAAAAAAACATTCACAAAAAAAAAACAGTCACAAGAGCTTTAGTGCAACAGCTTTTTATGGCAAACTTCGAGAATATTTACCGAAATAGTCAAATTATAAATCTTTGAACAATTGATTTTTAAATCTATTTTCAAATGAGTGACAACCAAATAACTGACCACTTCAAAACCATTTTAAAAACTGTTAAAACACTTCCCCCGAGGCCCCTATAGAGACTTGTAGTGTTTAATGGCTTTTTAATGCCACGGCGGATGTTCGTTTTCTTTAGGCCATCGAGCGTCTTTTGCGAATGACATGAACAATTTACAGTCAATGGACACTCAGCATCTGGCGTTTGCATAAGTACATCAGTGCTTCTTCGCACAGAAAAGCTTCCTGTCCGCGGCAAAGAAAATTCTGTTACTTTAATGTAAACGCTCATTTAAAATAACAATATTAAGTTGGAAAATGTGAGAATTATTTTTAAAATCAAAAAATCAAGACATACTAGTATTCAACTTTCAACTTTCAATTACTAGGAACTCCCACAATCCTTATCGCTCTCACGTAAAAAGTACAGAATGAATCCGCTCCCCCTTCGAAACAATTATTTTATCGAAATAAAACAGTGACAAGCATTTACGCATGTTTGTTGTCATGTAACATCATGATAAAGTTAAAGGGACACTGTCAATGGCACGCATGCGCGAGTAAACTTGAAAACATTAGGCTAGTGTTTTCAAGTTTATGACTCCAAGTTGACGCGAAATAAATCAGATCGTAAACGTAAACAGACCTAGAATATTCCAAAGTGTGTCAAAAGCACCACAAAATGATTTACCAGTCGAAGGTGACACTGGTGAAAAACGCACTGCGCATGTCCACAGCTTTGCCGCCAGTGGGCGCTCGCGTCTTGAAACTGTAGACAGAGCGCCGGGCGATTTACAGCGACAACACAGAAAACACTACGAAAAACCTCATTTTCTCAAAATAGAAATGACAAGATAAAAATAGAAACCACATACTAAAAGAACATATCATGAACAATGATTGATGGAAATATGAATCTTATATATCCGTGAACGAGCTTATAAATTGTAAAAAACTTTCTCAAAAATCGCTTTACAAAGGAAATTAGGCAGATTTCAACGGAAAGCTGTGGACATGCGCAGTGGCGTTTTTCACCAGTGTCGTCGAAGGTAATACTTTCAAAGTCCGTTAGAGGTGAGACTGTTACTGCGCATGTCATCCATTGACAGTGTCCCTTTAATCTGAAACCAAGCAAACCGATCAGTATTCCTTTATATTTTTCAGTTTTTAGTCACAAAAAACTTCTAGCATTTTAGACACTTTTTGGTTGTCGATTTTTTTCAAATCAGTGATTGCAGAAAAACTCTATAACTATACTCCGCGAGATTTTCGGATATAAACAATATAGTCTGCAAAGCAGGCTTAACGATGTATTGCAACTGACTTTGATCTTTCGAGTTTTTGTGAAGTGGGTTTGAAGCTTTTACTTCATCTACGTGATTTGCAATGCATTGTGGGATCGGTTTCTGGAGAAAACAAACATTCCGCCATATTTTGTCACTAACATATCCTACAATGCATTGCGAAAACGGTATATGACGATATGACGTCTTCAGAGATCTATTAATATACCTTTAAGAGAAGTCCTTTAAAAATATTCTTATGTCATTTCTGAAATATACTTTTTGAAAAAAAAAGTCTTTTTATAACAAGAAGAAGAAGAACGGTATAAATATCACGATTTTTTAATTTGATAAATTGACTAATAATACACCAGCGGTGAATGTGGAGAGTCAACTTATGCGACTTGTTGATTACGACCTCAGGTAAAATAGCTCAGATTTGAAGGCCTTTGCTGATCAGGAAGGCGTCTTGGTTGGGCTCACGACCAAGGAAGTCTTTAAGCATATCACTGGCGTCCTGAAGGAATATAAGAAAAATAGGTGATTATGCCAGTCATTGTGTCAGTAAAAACGAGTGTCGTTCTTCTGACGCGCCAGACACGAACTTCTTGCATGATATCGCCCATGTAAGAAAATCCAGAGAACTAGAGGATTCCGGATTCCAAGCGCTGGATCCCGGATTCCGAAACATTGGATATGTTTGTTCCAACTTGACCGTCTATTCTCCCTACCTTAGAGCCGCCTGGCTGTAGTATGTACTTCCTGTAATCCATGCCAACTTTGGCGCTCATTATTCCTTCCTTCTTGAAGCGAGAGTGAAACATATCCATACAGAACACCTCACTCCACTGAAACAAACGACACACGGTAAGCCTCGGTTCATACGTCGTGCTATCGTCGCGCCAAACCAAMYASTAGGGAGCTTTAGATTTGAGAACGAAGACGAGGACGAGGACGAAGTTTCGAAAATTCGCCGTTACAGATTACGACAGCTCATGAAATGTCACGCAACTTCGTTGTCTCCTTGCTGAGGACGACGAAGTTTTTACCCAACTTCGTTCTGTCCAAAACGAAGTTTTTAACAGCTTTTCTTATACTTATTTTGCACTGAAAATCTGAAGAAAATGCAAGATCATCGACTTTGGTCATCCCTTGTTTTACTTTGAGCAATAAATGTGCGGAAATATCCTTAATTTGTGCTAAGATTGGCATAAACTAAACCATGTCAAATTAGTTTTTCAGAGTGAATTAGGAATTTCTTTTGAATATGCGCGAGCAAGCTGACGACATCAAAGTTGTGCGCGCTCACCAACTTCGTCCTCGTCCTCGTCTTCGTTCTCGAATCTAAAGCTCCCTAGTTTCAATTAGACACACGAAAAGCGCGACTTATGATTCTGTTGGGTTCGGTGCGACTGTGACACTGCAAAGTAAGTCATGCTGTACAAAACAGCTGGACATAATAGGCAATCTACAGCGACACCATTTTGTGCAGCAAAGGATGATGGTAGTTGTAGTCCTCGTACTTTTTTATGTCCGCTATAACAGTCCTATTAACCAGTTTTTGCTTTTTCTAAGCGACTATAGAAGTATTTGTGCCGTTTCTAAAAAGAAAATATAAAAACGGCTGTGAAAAGTGCGAGGACTACAACTACCATCATGCTTTGCAGCACAAAATGGCGTCGCTGCACATAGCCTATTCAAAATGCTGAAATATGATTGGCCGTTGACTTACCAGGTATCCATAGTACTGTGCATCGTATCCACCAGCTAAGTGACCAAACGACGCTGGCATGTTGGTTCCTAAAATACACACATTCAAAAGACAAATGAAATTTCCAGGTTCCTCAGTTGCGGGTCCAGCTTGTGGACGCGCATTTCCTTCTGGGTCTTCATGCTATTTATATTAGTGTCTCTTTTGCGGTCATAGTTTTTGTGTTGTGCACCCCCTCTATGCATGCGAGTCTGCTCGCTCCTGACAGTCCCACCGACTGATATGTAAATATTTATTGGTATATGTTATAATCAGCATCATGTGAACCTTACCTGGAGTTGCTGGTATATGTAGAATTTTCTCTGACGTCTCAGCATAAACTTTAGCAGTATCTACTGGCTATTATCACATGAAAAAGAGACATGACAAAGAAGAACAGCATTCCTTCATTCAGACATTAACTTATCACTTCTTCATTTGACATTCATAAATTCAAAATTCATATATAATATATTTTTGCCCCCATTCCAAGTTTGCTTGCTTCCCCGTTTCATCTTTCTATCCATTGAGCCCTTCTTCAGGGAGATCAGCGGACTTACCTCTGAGGCTGTGTGGATTTTTTGATCAAAGGTTCCAAGTACGATCTGTTAAAGAAATTCACATTTCAAGCTTTGAAGTAAACCACCACAACTTGGAATCAGGGCCGGATTTAGGAGAGTGGAGGGCAGCCCCCCTATTACGAAAATCTTTTCTATTTTAACAATTGTATAATAACACAACAAGAAAACCTCGCAAAATGAAATAAACTTCAAAACACCTTAGTTTTGATTGTCGTCTTTTTTGTTTATCATTTTCATTATCGATTAAAGATTATTAAATTGATAAAGGGAAATTCCCGCGAAAATTTCCCACCGTTTTTGTCGACGGCCCCCCATTTGGATTCCCTCTTGACTATATACTAAAGATCACTAAAATGTCTGAAATGCATGATCGAGATCAGGTCGTGAAGTGGGAGAGCAAAGAAAACTCAGCACGAGGCGCAATAATCATTCCGCTAAGTACAAGGGAGAAAGATAGGATAAACATTGTGAAAGTGTACGTCTGAAGCACATACAGCACATATTGTACCGCATGTCAAGAGCACTTATCCCCCCCCCCCTCCTGCAAGCCGCGACGCAGTCTATTGTGAATTGTTCCATATCTGCATTTACTGTACAAACAGTGATGCACTAAATACCTGACGTGAGTTGAAAAGTCCAGCGTTTGCATTCCTAGAAGCTATTAGCTTGTCTAACATTTCATCTGGTACAGCACTTCCATCTTAAAAATTCCAAAACAAAGTAAAGTTATTGTGATGTGAAAATGGACAATAGTAGGTAACAGGGGGAGGGGGGAGGGGGGAGGGGAACGGAAAGGGAATTAGACTATAATTTCAATAGGATGAAAGTCAATCAGAATGAATTCATTTTGAGACAGATACTCAACTCAAAAAAATATGGTAAAGACTGGTTGATATATTTCGGTTTTATTTGAGAACCATCATCAGGCTGTGACTATTACAGTGACTATACGGTATTTATATACGATCCCCGGATGTTCAATAAAGAGTAGAAATCAAGTTACAAGTTGTGTGACTTTTTCTTAAATTTATAATAGTAATTGTACTTATGTACGAAGTTTATGAATAAATTTAGATTTAACAGATTAAATTAAATTGAATTCTGATTTTTTAAATTGAATTCTCTATAATTTCACGTATTACAGACGAGAAGTCCTTTCACTAAGATTGATTATGTGACTATATACTGTGAACGACAAAAGCCCGCCCTTGCATCGGCGGGGGATGGATACCACAGGTAACCCATAATATTAACAATTTCTTTTAATCCCAAATTTGTCTTCAAGTTCTTTCACAATTTCTTCTTCTTCAGAGAGTTCTTTTGATTCTTTTTTGACTCTATTATTCCCTAAGTATGTTGTTGTTGTGAGTTTATTGCCGGTCAGGGTTAATCTTCCCCATGGTTTAGCGATTGTGCAAATACGATCGTGAGTAAACGGTGATTCTGGGTTCGTCTGGTGATATTCTAACAATTCATTGAAGTCTGGAGTAGTCACTTCTGTCAACAAATCAAATTGGTATTTTGGTTTCCAACCAGGATCACCAGGGCAACAGAACTTCCTTTCTGCMAATTTTTCTTGCCCGGATTCATCAACGATAACCTTGTATTTCTCGTCGAGGATGCAGACGTCTCCATCTTTCCTAATGCGATAAATTCCTGATTGTAGATGCTGTTCTTCTCCCAGGTCTGTGACGAGCAGAGGGGTCATACTGAAGTCTCCAAACCCAACGTCCGAGAGCCAGTGTTTTCCTTCGATGTTCACGACTAAAGTCTTGTGATCAAACGGTGGACCAAATTCCCCTGTATCCATTGCGAACACTTGACTACTACAAGACTTGTAATTGAATCCAAAATAATCGAGAAGGAATGAATACAACGTGTTAAGCTCGTAGCAAAACCCGCCTCGATGCCTTCGAACGATCTTGTCGAACAACCAATCTTTAGTGGGAAATATTTTCTCTTTTCCATAAACACTGAGGTTTTCAAAAGGTACTGATAGCATATGGCATTGTTGCAGTTTAGATAAGACATCAATTGTTGGTTCTTTGGGGCCATTGAAGTGAATACGAGCTAAGTATTGCTCTGCTTCTTCCGGAGAGAGGGCTTCGTCCGCCATGTTGAGGTCATGCATCACACCACATGGCACCCGGGGGGTACTCCCACCGAACTTGGGTGGGGGTGTGCTGCTGCGACCTCTGACCAAGGTGCACACGGTTTTAGGTGACCCCCATCGGTACCAGTCTTTTTACCCGGATAGGAATATAATATGGCGTTTGTTCAATATTTCGTTTGTGCAGTTGGAGTTGTTCTGATGTTGCTGTACTTTGCACGGAGATACTTCCTCTGACCTGACCCTGACCTGACCCTGTTCCAAAGTAAAATCGCTTCAAACGATACCCTGTTCCAGAGTAAAATTGCTGAAAACTATACCCTGTTCCAGAGTAAAATCGCTGAAAACTATACCCTGTTCCAGAGTAAAATCGCTGAAAACTATACCCTGTTCCAGAGTAAAATCGCTGAAAACGATACCCTGTTCCAGAGTAAAATCTCTTCAAACGATAGCACTAGCCTGCGTGTAGACCGAATTTTTTACCCCGTGAATCTTTGCCCAGCATCGATAATTCTGGAATTAGTTAAAGCCTGGCCCTGTTCCAGAGAAAAATCGTTGCCATGTTGAGATCACGCATAGAGATCACGGAAAGCTGTCACGCAAATAACGTGCAAAAACAACAACACTGTCACGTGTTACCCTCGTAAAATAAAGTCGATTTATTTAACACCCAAAGAAGAAGTAAAAAAAAAACACTACAAAAAGCATTTGAATATATATCGTTCAGAAAAATGGCGAATAGAGCTTGACAGAAGCTCTTAGAGCGCTTACTCGAGCTGCAYATACACGTCGAATTGATTGAAATTGTGGCAAAGTAAGAGATTGTATCCCATCAAACATGCAAAGTCACGCAACAGGGTATTTTTAAAAAGAATTTGTTTGACCAGTCTTCATTAAATTATGAGGAATTTTAGCAATTTTTTTTTTCAAGTTCATATGATATTATGATGCCAACAATATCAATTGGAGTTTGTTTGCCAGGTGTGATTAACAAAGAGAAATTTTTTTCAAAACCTTCTCACAGTTACGACGATGTGTAACGCCACCATGATTGATGGTACAGTCGAGGTAGCCAAATAAAATTCTAAAACTCATTCATAACAATATCAAACCTTTGTAATGTGCTGACATTCTTCTTAAAGGCTCTTTCTCCCAACACCAGTTTTCCAACATTTGAGATGGAGCCTCAACGAAGTCTCTCTCAACACTTGTACCACTGCAATAAAGATTGACATCTATGAATTCTAAAATAATCATACTGGTTGTCAGCGCTTTAGTTCTACAGTTTGAGATATGAGCTTGCTCCCGAAAAATTACTAAAAAATTTCAATTTAAACCTAAAAAAATCGATGACTTTTATTTTTGAGCAAGTAAGAAATTTCCGTAGCCAAGGAGCATGACTGGGCAAAACAATCTCATCATTGTGGTCGCTCCTGTGTTTGGAGGGCACTAAGGTCGTGCCTAAGCAGATGCACCTCCATGGTCCCTCCTGTCACTATGTATGAACTGTTTAAAGCACCCCTTTACAAACAGTTCTCCATGGTGAATATAATGATAATTATTACAAAAAGTGCTTTCTGTGCTGTATACTGACCTGAACAAAGCATAGTCTGCCATAGCACAAATTTGATGCATTACATGACCAAACTCATGGAAAAATGTCTCAACCTCGAAAAGAAATGAACATGAATTAGTGAGTGGATGAACCAAATGTTGGAATATGAGTAGAACTACAAAAGTAGATGTAATGTTTGGAGTGTTTGTTAGCATTGTAATTTATTGTTTACGTATTATAGTTCCAAACTTAGAGCTTGATTGCATTACCTTTGCTTGTCAAAATTTCAGCAAATCATATATTTTCCTAATAGCGATAGCTTGTTATAAGACAACCCAGTTAGTCCAGTCATCCTGTGAAATTTTTTGGGTCGAGTTCAAACAAATTRTAAAAGAATGTTTTTCACTTCAGAATCAAAGATAAATGCCAGCTAGCAAACATACTAAAAATTCGCAAAAATTCGTGTGGTGGAACATTGTGAAATTAAGTGTCAAACTTCTTAAAATACAACAACGATCACCACAGGGTACCCACATGTTGTAAAATTCCACACATTTCATTTGTGTGCAAAGTTTTGAACTTTAAATTGAGATAACATTCATAAACAATAAAAGATATTGTTTCTAAATTGTTATTGTATTAATTTTGCATTTGCAAATCTTTTTTAATCCATTTGAGATAAAAACTAACGTTTTGGAGTCCCTGTGTCTCGAGGAACGCCTGGGAGTTGTCAACGTAGTTACATCGTCTGTAAGTGCTCTAGTTTTCCCAAAGTTTTATATGTTTTTCATTCCATTTATTCTTACAATCTTCCTGTTATTATCAAGTAGAGATGTAAGCTAACTGTGGTTAAAATCTAGCTTAATTTTAATGACTTTTTATGCTCGTACATCAAGCTATTTGGCCTTTGAATTATATCGATTTGAAAATTTGGCGCCAAAATGTTTACGACAATGTAACAAAATGTTTTTTGTGAGTATTCAAGGCGTAAAGAAGTTGGAGAGAAAATCCTGTCATCTATGGTAGACGAGAATGCATATGAATATAAGTTTTCCAAAAAATCGCAGGTAGTAACATTGTCGTCCAAAACCGACRTCAAATGTAGTGATGGAACCATGCAAGTGGACCCGAAGCTTCTATTTCAAAGGTTGAGCTTAATTCGTGGCAACTGGTGGGAAATATGAAAAMCCTCAATCCTTTTTCAAATTTGAGATGTCCAGCTTCCTTCCAGCTCTATTTGATTCCTCGCTTCTTCTTAGGAAAGCGAATAAGCCCGTTTTGGCTGATGCAATCTGGTCACAGACAAAAAATGGTGAATCAGTAGAGCCGTCTGGAAAAGTCAGTTATTTCCTTGATGGTGGCACACAACCACCAAGGACTGTGYGCATCATAAAAGACATAAAAGAAACGGCGTGTGCACTTGGTCCTGAAACCTGTAGAAACTTTCTGTTTGTACATGCCATTTTAGGGTGCGATACGACATCTGCGTTGTATGGCCTTGGGAAAGGGCAAGCCCTTAGAAAGTTGGCAAGTGACGACCGCTTCGGTAATCAAGCAGGGATCTTCGATAAAGCAGATGCTTCAAAAGATGAAATTATCACAGCTGGCGAAAAATCTCTTGTTCTCCTGTACAAAGGTCAGTCCGATGATACTTTGGATTCACTGCGTTATGCGAAATTTTGTCAAAAGATCTCTACAGGCAACTCTTTTGTGCAACCTGAATGCCTCCCACCGACATCAGCAGCCACCAGTTATCACAGCCTGAGGGTATATCATCAAGTTCAGGGATGGAAAGGGGTGGCGCTTCCTGCTGAAAACTGGGGTTGGAAGCTAGAATATGACAGATTGTTACCTGTGAGAACAAGCCTTCCAGCAGCTCATGCGTCTTTGCTAGAGATGGGAAGGTGTGGATGCAAGACAGACTGCAGCACCCAAAAGAGGTTCATGCAGAAAACAAGGGCTCGAATGTTCCGCTGCGTGTGCTAACTGTAGAGGACAAAGCTGTTGTAATTCCTCACAACTAGATTTCAGTGAAGGAGATGAATGAGAGGTCAAATGAAGGCATAATTTCCTCGAAATGAGAGTGATTATAACGCTTATGATGTATATGTAGGTTCTTAAACGTCTGTTAATTATAAGCAGAGTCTGTACATTTTTTAACTTATTCTCGTTATTTTGTGGCCCATTTGATTGGGAAGCAAAGTGTATAAAATATGTTTATATATTTTTTACTTCTGTAGTAACTTAACTTTAGCACACTATATCACTTAAAAGTGTTTTTTTTT